GAGTTCTTCCAGGATGGTGAGAGGGCAAAAAAAAGCTAGGAACGACCATATTGTATGGACGAAAGACGAAAATAGAGTTACACTAGCTATTGGTGGAAGAGGTGAAGAATGACAATAAAATGGACAATGGTAACTTCAAAAAATATATCATCAAACAAAATGTTTTGTCAATCATAAATGCTAGGTTCGACAGAAACTTCAAATTTAATCATATAAAGAACTGTTGTGCGCAGCGGAAATTTCGGCAGCACCTCCGGTGCGCAAGGTGCACAACAAGAGATTAGATCGTAAGAATTCCTAACTCACCAAGGAAACAAGAATCTGAAGCAGATATCTCAACAAAGTGAGATATCGGCTCTTCCTCTCATCAGTTCTAGGACTGACCTGTCGAGGGATCCTACAAGCTATTACAAATCACGGCAAGAACACAACTTTTACGTGGTTCGGCAAATAGCCTACATCCACGGGGCAAGGAGGGGGAGATCTACTATTAGAGGGAGAGATACAACTAGGGTTTACAATCACTCAATCTAAACCCTCACACAAACTCTCAGATCCCTCACACAAATACTCTCTCACAAAAGGGGATGCACAAAACCCTAACAAAAATCGCTGCAATATTTCTCCAAGCACAGTCGTCAAGTCCTCTGCCTGTGCTCTGCCGAAATCCAAATCACAGCCTCTGTTTTATTTTTCCCAAGCCTTGCACGCCGCTTTTCCCCGCACTTTGCACGAAGCCGCCGCCAACAAAACTCCTTGCACCTCTGCGGCTTTCTTTCTTCTTTTGTTTTTCTCTGCAAGTCGCCTTTTCCACCTCTTGCACACGTCTGCGTTTTCTTCTCCGCACCCAGCTTTGCTCCACCGAAACCCTAGAGCAAAATACCCTATATATAGGCTACACTATCGGGTGGGCTCACGTGGAAACGAAAAACCAAAAAGAAAAACGCGTGCTTCCGCGTTCTTTGATGAGTGGCCCCCACACGCGAATATGGTTCTGCACTCTGATGCTAAACTCGTGGTGATCCCGTTCTTTGATGAGTGGCCCCCACACGCGAATATGGTTCTGCACTCTGATGCTAAACTCGTGGTGATCCCTCCCACGTGCTTCACAATTCTCCACCTCGATGAAGTTTTCCCAAAACTGAGCCGACACCAACCAAAACAAATGTCCCACTTGTTGCGTCCAGGACGAAGTGAAACGATTCACGACAACGGACTCAATCCACAACAAGTCGAAACCCAAACGAGAATGCAAACACTCTCCAAATGTCGGTATCAACTCACAAATCGGTCTCACCCCCATCAAATAATCCAAACCGGCTGCATCGTAAAGACTGCCTACGTATCCTCTTACCCAAGGAATCAAGCCGAACGTAGTTCACCCAAATGGCCGCGAACGACCTCAATCTAATAGAAGAGTTCGCAACCCTTCTCCAATATCACCAACTTTGCGACTGATAGCACCTCCAATGACCTCAAACACCTCCACCTGAGGCAAACCAATGGTTATATCCAGACTACATCTATCAGCTGTACTCGAATCAATCAACCTATCATCTGCATCCAAATCAACATGATTCCCAATCTGTGTCACATCAGCTGGAATCCTAAATGATGCAGTATGATCTGGAGTTTCCACCCAACGTGAAGTAGCATCACTCTCCACCCGCTGTGATGTCTCAAAGATCTGATCACTACTCTCCACCTGCCGAGAGTCAAACGTGACATATCTGCTCAGAACAAGGTCAGAAGCCAATAACTGATAATTAAACACGCCTCTGAATCCTAAATGTGCTATCAGATCAAATCTCGCATCCACGATGTGACCAAGTGCTGGGTAGCCAAACATCTGAAGCAACCCAAAATCTAAAGCAGCTCCACCAGATCCAAAAACTCTACATGCAGCAGTCGGCAACCTATACATAAGATGGCCCAAACATGTCGTAGCCCGCATACCAATGCCAATGCTCGACATCAAACGCCGATCCTCCTCCAGAAAGGAACAGCTCCCCAAATCTGTCATCTCATCACGTCGCCTCGAAGTTTCCATACCAATGAAGTGTCTCCAATTTCCGTGATCTCGGCACAAATGCAGAAATAGGTCCCTCTTGTACCACCCTCTAACATTAGACTGAAGTACATTCACCTTTCTGCCAATACACTTCCTCCATTTGTTGCGAGCTTCTAGGACTTCGCACCAACGGGACTTGGTTGCAACCCACCAATGCCTAGAACAATCCCCAACTACGGAAACCATATACCTATTACCTCCCAATGATGCTCCCTTGGAAGGCCCCCGAATGCCTGAATGAACACCCCTCAGAAGACCCCTCGAATGATGGATAGAAGTGCCAAACTCCACCTAGGTCTTCTTGCTCATACCAATGGGTTCACAGGACTTCAAACTGCGGGTCAAAGCACTCCTTAATAACCTATGCACGGCATTACCAATCAAATAACCCAGTATCAAACAACGCCACAGTCTAGCCGAATCTGATGAAGTCGTCATCTCCCTATCAATCGCCATGCTTCCGAGCAAATAATACAAATTGCTCCTTCTGACGCCCTTCATAACAATCATGGACCCCTCTTAAGGGTCACGATCCTACACTTGGTATACATAAGCAAAAACAGGACCCTACAAAGTCGTCATCTCCCTATCAATCGCCGTGCTTCCGAGCAAATAATACAAATTGCTTCTTCTGACGCCCTTCATAACAATCATGGACCCCAATGTGACCTTCAAACGTGCATCCACCAAGGTCACTTTATAGCCAGATGCCACCAAAGCTCCTAATAAAATGATGTTCTTCGACAACTGCGGAACGAACCTCACTTCTTCCAACTCCTGAATCACTCCGTCATACATCCGAATACGAACGGTACCAATACCACCAATAGAACATGCATGTCCATTACCCATGAGCATAACATCCTCTCTTTCTAACTTCTGAAAGCTAGAGAACCAATCCCTCCTAGGGCAAACGTGGTATGAAGCACCCGAATCCAACATCCACTCTGTAGAGTTAGCAACACAAACTGACGGAAGTACAGACAACGAATAGCCTGAAGAATCTGAATCTGAATTGTTGCCACTAGTCTTGACAACATTCACCTCTGAAGCTTGTACAGCTTTCCCCTTATTCTTCTCGGCTCGATCTAACTTTGGGCATTCGGCTTTCCAATGTCCATCCTCTTTACAAAATGCACACTGATTCCTACGAATCCCACGATGTGCACCTCTAGACTGCGACCTTCTGCTTCGGTTTGAACCACGGCCTTGAACTACTAATGCATCTCCTGATGCCTTATCGGAAGACTCATCCACACTCTTCCTCAACTCATAATTCACTAACGCTGAGGTCACTTCCTTGTAACTAACAGTAGTTATTCCATTAATCATAGTTAGGACAAAAGTACCATAATCATCCTCGGGCAATGAACACAAAAGTAGCATCGCCTTATCTTCATCATCAACCATGATATCCACATTTGCCATGTCTGAAAGTAGCTTTGTGAAGTTGTTAACATGCTCCCTAATGGAAACTCTCCTCTTTATCTTGAACTGGTAAAACATCTTCTTCAAGTGAAGCCGATTCTCAATGTTCTTAGTAAGATACTTTTCATTGAGTGTTTCCCACATCTTCTTCGCCGACGTCTCGTTCATCACATCATAAATAAGATCCGACGTCAAGCATGACCCAATAACTCCACACGCCCTACTAGTCATCTTCTTCCAAATCTTAGCTTCCATCTCGGCAGGTTTCTCTTGTAATTCAAGCGTCTCCTCCAAATTCTGAGCGTCCAAGGCGTCCATCACCTGACACCTCCACAATCCGAAATTAATCTTGTCGTCGAACTTCGGAACATCAATCTTCATGTTATTGATGCTCAAACTATGTATCGTCTTCGTAGGAGACGATCCCGATGTGCTTGTTTCACTCATGTTGTCGATCTAATCTTTAAATAGGAATCCTTCAGCGAATCCTTCAAACAAGCTCCCAAGTCCAACCCGGAGCTCTAATACCACTTGTTATCCGCAGCGGAAATTTCGGCAGCACTTCCGGTGCGCAAGGTGCACAAAAAGAGATTAGATCGTAAGAATTCCTGTCTCACCAAGAAAACAAGAATCTGAAGCAGATATCTCAACAAAGTGAGATATCGGCTCTTCCTCTCATCAGTTCTAGGACTGACCTGTCGAGAGATCCTACAAGCTATTACAAATCACGGTAAGAACACAACTTTTACGTGGTTCGGCAAATAGCCTACGTCCACGAGGCAAGGAGGGGGAGATCTACTATTAGAGGGAGAGATACAACTAGGGTTTATAATCACTCAATCTAAACCCTCACACAAACTCTCAGATCCCTCATACAAATACTCTCTCACAAAAGGGGATGCACAAAACCCTAACAAAAGTCGCTGCAATATTTCTCCAAGCACAGCCGTCAAGTCCTCTGCCTGCGCTCTGCCAAAATCCAAATCACAGCCTCTGTTTTATTTTTCCCATGCCTTGCACGCTGCTTTTCCCCGCACTTTGCACGAAGCCACCGCCAACAAAACTCCTTGCACCTCTGCGGTTTTCTTTCTTCTTTTGTTTTTCTCTACAAGCCGCCTTTTCCACCTCTTGCACACGTCTGTGTTTTCTTCTCCGCACCCAGCTTTGCTCCACCGAAACCCTAGAGCAAAATACCCTATATATAGGCTACACTATCGGGTGGGCTCACGTGGAAACGAAAAACCAAAAAGAAAAACGCGTGCTTCCGCGTTCTTTGATGAGTGGCCCCCACACGCGAATATGGTTCTGCACTCTGATGCTAAACTCGTGGTGATCCCCCCACGTGCTTCACAAGAACAAGATCAAGAGTTGGAAGAGGAAGATTGAACCCATTGAGTTATTGTTGAAGAATAATTCCGGATTTGGTTGGGACCCAATATCCTAAAGAATTACTTGTTCTCTTGAGGTGTGTCATTCCTTATACAATTCAAGAGTAGCAATCTATCACATAAATGCTTATAATAAATTCTTCAAAAGCATGACTCAAGTCAGTCTTACAGTCTGCAGTTAACAGTAACATGGGTGATTACACCGATTCTTAACTGACTGCAATTACTGCAGGATCACGTCAGAAGTGGTATACTGAGTCTGTACATAAGTGATGGGTTCTGAGTTTTCTTCTGAGCTCTCTGCATCTTTCTTCAGCCCATCAACTGCACCAGAAACAATATTCACAAGCTTCAGGGAGAAATTGAGGATAAAACAAGACCTGCAGAAAGTAACCAGAGTTCAAAACATAGTGCATGCTTATCCCGTGACAAGCAACGAAAAAGTTATCTGACGTTGATTTTATCACAATTCAAAAAGATAGTCATGCATGACCAGCACACTACTTTTGCATTCCCGTAAGGCAGCGAAAGTTTGATACATAAGCTGCAATCATCATTCAGACATGTCGGTTAGAACATTCTGGTCCTCCAGTGTATTGTGGTTGTATGTGTTCATAACATAGATGGATTGACCGTCTTTCCATCTAAGCCTTTTTTCCTGACATGAGATTAAATCTTACACTTGAAACTGAATGGCCGCAAGACAAACACCTTCAACTACACGAGCCATCTTACAAGCAATTTCTCCACATCAACCATCATACCCACATTTTATCGACAAACATCCTCATTTATCAAAACTTCATGATAAAGAACACAGGTGATAAAAATGTTAACTTTTAGCTGGACAAATTTTCAAAACAATCCTCTTTGGACTTTTATTCTAAAAAAAAGACCTATTTCGAACTTATTTTCAAGAACCAAGGTCGGTTTTTGAAAATATTTTTCCGAAAATTCACGGGAGTTGGAACTCCCATGACGTTTAGCAGATTTTTAACTAACTGCTAAAACTTCACAGGAGTTCAATTCCCGTGAAGTTTTATTGCTTAAACAAACTTCACGGGAGTTCAACTCCCGTGAAGTTTGTTATAGTGCAAAAACTCCATGGGAGTTCAACTCCCGTGGAGTTTCAGTTAAATCTTCCAGAGAATCGCTCTCTGGAAAATTAAGCCTGTAACTCCACGGGAGTTGGACTCCCGTGGAGTTTGGCCACACCTATATAAGGCGCAGACCCGTGAACTCATTCCCAAACCACTCTCACCCCTTCCCCACCCTAAACCCTAGACCCTCTCTCCCTCGCCCCCCC